AATCCATATTTTAAAAATTATGATTGAAATATCTTGCATTCATTTTACATACAAAGACTCTAAGATCTGGAATGTAAACTACAGTTACAGCACATTGGGAGATGATGGCCCAGCTACATTTCAAGTGCTCTGAAGACTCCTGTGGCTATTGGCAGAGCCCTGAACAAGAATGATGAGAGGAACAAATTACCACCTCCTCTTGAAAACTGAAAAAGCGGGAAAAAAAAATGAAAAAGCAGTATTGATAAGTTTTTTTCATCAATATGCCTCTCTGCCGATGCAGCAATCCAAATCAGACCAAATTAGAAAAAGCCCAGGTTTAATGGGTAAAGCATTCCCTGGTGATTCTCCAGCCCCCACAGAGAGGAGACAGGGACAAGAGACTGGAAAACCAAGTGTCTGTTTTCTGGGATGCAGCTTATATACCCTGTGGGAGTGGTCTTGAGCCTCTCTAGGGGAGGAGCTGTATTTGGCGGGTTTTGAAGGGGTGAGTTTGGGGAAAGCGATGGGGGAGGGGAGTTGAGGCAGATCTTCCACCAGAACAAGTATTTATTTACATTCTTTTTTTTTTAAAGATTTATTTATTTTGTATACAGTGCTCTGTCTGCATATATGCTTTCATGTCAGAAGATGGCGCCAGATCTCATTACAGATGGTTGTGAGCCACCATGTGGTTGCTGGGAATTGAACTCAGGACCTCTGGAAGAGCAGCCTGTGCTCTTAACCTCTGAGCCATCTCTCCAGCCCTACATTCTTTAAGACCTTTAAATGTTGTCTTCTACCCTGGCTTTTGTGTGTGTTTTCCACCTGCAACTAGTTATTCTCTGTGTATAGTCTATCAGTGAACAACTGGAAACTTAATTATAATACTCCAAGTTTGGGGATATTCTTCTAACGCAATGGTTCTCAACCTGTGGGTCATAACCCCTTTGGGGACTGAATGACCTTTTCACAGGAGTTGCATATCAGATCTCCTGCATATCAGATATTTACATTACAATTCATAACAGTAGCAAAATTACAGTTATGAAATAAATAGCAACAAAAATAATTTTATAGTTGGGGGTCAGCACAACATGAGGATCTGTATTAAAGGGTCACAGCATTAGGAAGGTTGAGAACCACTGTTCTAACGTAAACATGAAGTTACATGCAAGACACTAAGAAAAACAGTGAACAAGTGATTAGTGCTAAACCTACACATTCTTTTTTTTAAATTTTATAATTAATTTAATTTTACGTATCAGCCATGGATTCCCCTTGTCCTCCCTCCTCCCACCCCCCAGCCTTCCCCTCGACCCACACATTCTTAAGAGTGTTAAAGGAATGTATTTTCAAGACATATATTGAAATATTAACAAATTAAGCCAGGCATGGTGCTGCACAGCTTTAATCCTACCTAGCACTTGGATCTCTGAGTTCGATGCACCTGGATCTCTGAGTTCGAGGCCAGCCTGAACTACAGAATTCCAGGCCAGGACTATAGAGAGAAACTCTCTCTGTCTTGAAAAATCAAAAATAATAAAAATAAGTATATATAAAATTTGTTTCAGAAATGTATAGTGACACTCTACTATTAAGTTAAAATACCCAAATTTACCCTGGAATCCAAGAATTCCTAGAAGAAGATCCCATTTAATTATCTGTTTCCAACTTCCTTCTCATTCCTATTCATAAACATCCTATGCTGAGCATCATCTCCCAAGCAAGCATGGGTCTACCATAGTTCTTCTCTACAAGTTTCAAGAGCTGGGAGTGAGGCCCTGCTCCTTCAGCTGCCCCTTCAATCCTGTCCTCGACACCACAGCTCGGCTGTGAAGTCTTCCTGCCTGCAGGGCACGTAACATCTCCCACTCTGACCCAACAGCCTGACAACACAGGAGGCAGACCACATTCTGTTCTCCAGGAACCCGTTCTGTCCACCTGCCGAGAGTGCAGAAGTGAACACAGAACAGGCAGCGAGTGCTCCAATTCAACCCTCCCATAAATTTGTGGGATTCTGAACACCCACTTCCACCTCCAGACCTGTCTCGTGGGGTCTCCTTGCTGCTCACTGCTTCCACAGGTAGCTCCATGCCCCTCTAAGAGCCTTTCTATTTGCTATTCCCAGGCATCTGCTAACAAAAGTGCATCTGCCCTGGAACCTATAAGCTAGCTCACATCTACAAATTCATTCTGAATATTCACATTTTCAAAACCATTAGCCACATATTCATAAGGTTCTTCACCATGTGTCCTTTCTTTTCAGACTTATTACTTTCACATGTATGTGTGTGCCTGTACTGGTCTCTGTGCACTATGTACAGAGAGGAGCCCGAGTCCAGAAGAGGGTGTCAGATCCCCTGGAACTGGAGTTGTAAGGGGTTATTAGCTATCATGTGGGTGCCAAGATCCAAACCTCAGTCCTCTGCAAGCACAGCCAGTGTGGGTAGTTGTTGAAAGATGCACCCCTCCAGCCTTTCCTATACATTCTTTTTTTAATTAATTAAAAATTTTCATTTATTTTACACCCCGACTGCAGTTTCCCCTCTCGCCTCTCCTCCCATCCCCTCCCTGCTCCTGAGGACTTGCTGAGATACCCAGCGTGCAAATAGAAGTGGAATCTAGCCTAGCTAGGTGACTTCAAAGCCACACTGCCTGCCACAATATGCGATCTTCACTGGATTCCCCAGCAACAGTCACCTGACCTCAGCCTTAAGGTTCCTTGGGACTGTCAAAACTGGCCTTTCCCCATACTGAACCCTTCAAAAATGGAAATATTTTTCTCCTCTGCTTGTCAATGCCTTACATCTTTTCATTATATAAAGACAGATGAGGGGCTGGAGAGATGGCTCAGAGGTTAAGAGCACTGCTTGTTCTTCCAAAGGTCCTGAGTTCAATTCCCAGCAACCACATGGTGGCTCACAACCATCTGTAGTGAGATCTGGTGCCCTCTTCTGGCCTGCAGGAGTGTGTGCAGACAGAACACTGTATATATAGTAAATAAATAAATCTTAAAAAAAAAAAAAGACAGATGAACACATGTAATACTTTCTAATAAAATAAAATGTTTATAAGTAGTATAATCTTTAAAGCTAGTTAGACTAAACTTTGCTAACTCTTTCTATCTAGGAGGAAAAAAATGCTAAACTTACTAGAGATGAAATAAGTTACAAGCTACTGATAGTGTCCCTGAACCTGGATAGTGACACACACAAGGCAGAACTAGGGGCTGGAGAGGTAACTCCGTGGGTGAGAGCGCTTACTAGCAAGTATAAGGAATGGAATTCAAATTCCCATACAAACATTGAAAAAACCTGGGCATCTGGCCAGCAAGATGACGCAGCAGGAGACCTGAGTTCAATCCCTAAAGCCCACGTGAAGGTGGAAAGAGAATACCAATATAAAAAGTTGTCCCCTAATTTCCATGTTCCCACTGTGGTACAAATACCCACCCACCCCCACACCACACATATACACATAATAACAGTAAATTGAAAAGCAAAAATATTTGCTTGGGCTCCATAACTGCCAGTGTAGCTTAGGGTCAGTGGCAGACCATGTCTCCTGGGAAAAAAGCAGAGAATGACACAGCAGAACACCCAATGTCGTCTTCTGTGTGGCACATGAGCATGAGCATAGAGTTCTGCACACTACATGCACATCTACTACACATGCTCACACCACACTCATAAAAGTAAGTAATGGAATGAGCTCACTCACTATTGTCTTTTTCTTCTCTCTCTTTCTTTCTTTCTGTTTGTTTCAAGACAGGGTTTCTCCATGTACCCCTAGCTGTCCTGGAACTCACTCTGTAGACCAGGCTGGCCTCGAACTCACAGAGATCCACCTGCCTCTTCCTCCCGAGTGCTGGGATTAAAGGTGTGCACCACCACTGCCCAGCTCTAAGCAGTTTAGCTAACTCCTTAAGTGGATATATGATATTATATAGAGCTGTGATGCTCCTTAACCTGCATAAACAGTAAAACTACACTTTATAAAAGGGACACACCGACAACAGGGCACAGTGGGACATGCTTCTAATCCCAGCATTCAGGAGATTGAGTCAAGAGGATCATGAGCTCCAGGGCCAGCCTGGGCTACAGTGAGACCCTGTCTGAAACACAAAAACAGACCAAAAAGGAAGTGGCCTAACAACTTTGTGTAAAGATTAAAAACTCCTAGGAAACAGAAATTACTTGTTAAACACAAATAATGTGGCACAAACCATTTCTCTTGGAGGCCCAAAGGTGAAAAAAATGCAAGTTTATTTTAGAAATCAAGGAGAACTGATATAACTATGATTACATACAGAATCCAACAGTTAGAAATGAAGTCTATGTAGATCTAGCTTGAGATTCTCAGGGCAGAAGTACCTTAGAAACCATATTAAATCTCCAATTTGCATGAGCTCAGTGAACCAGATAGACCATTGTGTCACCAATATCCGTGCGTAGCCCATTCTCCGTGAGGTGAACTTTCTTGCTCACTAGATCCACATGGAAAACAGCATTTTCGGAAATGAGTGTCTTCTCACTGTGTTCTCTCCCTAGGACTGGAACTCGTCGAGGCCCCAGCAGAGGATCATCAAACCTCATCAGTTTCACTTTGGAAAGATCTATAGCAGAAGAGAGCACCAACATGAGCATCTGCACACAGTCATTGATTGACACAATCCAGTTGTAAGAGCCAAACACAAGCACTGTCATCAGATTCTCAGGAGCCAAGCTAGCATCCAGTAAACTCATCCCCTTCCAGCTTTACGCCTGATTCCAAACAGTCAGAGAATCTGTGTAACACATCCGGAATGTAACACATCCAGAACACCAAACTAAGAGGGGGGGAAATAGTGGGTTTTTTTTTTTTAAGTGCCAGCCTATGGTTTAAATCATCTTTACATGCTTCAACAAACCTTTGGTGCTCTTGAATGTACTCAGCTGGTGAAGGGACCCTTTTTGAGCTATTTCTAGAGAATTCACTGTGAGAAACAGTACTACCTATTTCTTCTTTTGCTTAAGAGATAAGAAGTGCTTGCAGCACAAGCTGGTGAGAATCAAGAAGAGAAGGAGGAGCAGAGGGAGGCACAACTTTGAGATGAGCTCCAATCTGACCTGCATCTGGTCTACTATTGTGCAAGCTAGTGAAATGGCTCCTGACCAAAAACAACAGAAAACAAAAAACAAAACAGCAACCCAAAACCAAACAAGTACTTGCCCTATGAATAAATTTATGATTCAACAATCTGGTCAAAAAATTTTTATTTAACCAATTCTGAGACGTCTCAACATCAAACAGTTTTGTCACAAATGCTCGCTCTAGGACTATGCCGTTCCGAGCTTAGTGTGGCCAGTTATGCTTCACCTGCCCCTCCCCCAAAAGACATTTCCTACATCACTTCCAAGCTTTTCTAAAATAGATCACTGGGTGGTCTGTGAGCTACATCCCCTCATGGTGTCTCAAGAGGACAAAGCTGAGCTTTGTAAGGGATAAGAGATCAAAGAAGACATTAATGCAGCTGGCAGCCATACCCAGAGTACAAGTCTTGCAGGCATTCTCTTCTCTCTGGGAAACAAAGACTGAAAGGCTGCAAGTTTAGAGAAGAGCTCTCAGGGCTTACAGAGCAATTACCTGCATCTGCCATAAAAGCCAACCCTGCCTGGGGGTGTTCAGAGTCTCTGCAGAAACCAACAAAGCACAAGCCCTGAAACCTAACATAGGAGAGAGGCAGCGAGTCTTCCCCAAGCCTGCATCTTATTTGGGCGAACACAATTCACTGTAACAGCTATTGCAATTTCACCTGTACATCGGCGGCACCAAGTATTTTGCTATAGAAGCAGTAACAAGCTCTGCCAGCAGATTTTATACATTCACAGCAGCTCGCTCTCTAACAGTCTTCCCTCGTCATTTCAACCAATTCTAATTCGAACTATTTCAAAGAAACCTTAACACTCAATCAGCCTTCTAAGTGACAAAACACATTTGCTTTGATGTTTTGCCATGTAGTTCATTACTGCCAATAAATTCATAGGGCTTTCGTAGTGGCCTTCCTATCTATTCTTATCCTAGATCTCTGTCATCACCGAAAATGTTGAAATTTAAGTCTGCAACCACACAAGATTTAAGGCACTTAGAGAAAAGATAAAAGCGATTGAAAGCCCCTAGGGACTGATAACATGAAATGGAGCCTCTCACCTCCAAGTTAGTAGTTCATATGTGGCATAGGTGTGAGTGATTTAAAGTCATTATCATCAAGAGTTGCTCAGTGGCCTTTGTGGAGTGAAATGATGGTTTGAGTCTAGTTCCTCCTGGCCCTAGATCATAATCACCCTCAATACAATTGGCACTAATTGGACTGCTCGCTGGCTAGTGCAGCGGACAGACTATGAAGTGTGTTATTGAATTGAACTGTTTTTCTATCTTACATACTCAATATGCTCGGCCCCCATACATATCAAAGCAACCCGAAAGCCTACGGAAAGTACCAAGGTTAGATACTTCTGTGGATTCTCACGTAAATACCAATTTCAAACTTTGCTAATGCATCTATCCATTTTCCAGACTTAAAACACTATATATTATTCACAGTTTGTATGAGTAGAGAGCGAAAAACTGTACCAGAGGCTCCATGAGGAAAGACAACAAATAGAAAGCAATGCCAGCACAATTCTGAGGAACCCAGGCAGTGTTCTGAGGACCTTTAAATGGAAGTTGACTTAACATCTTAAAAAAAAAAACAAATTGCCAGGCAGTGGGGGATGCACACCTTTAATCCCAGCACTCAAGAAGTAGAGGCAGATGAATCTGAATTTAAGGCCAGCCTGGTCCACAGAGTGAGTTCCAGGATAGTCAGAGCTATACAGAGAAACCCTGTCTGGAAACCACTCACCCACAAATAAACAAAATTTATTAATTTATTTATTTTATGAGTGTGTGTGCATACATGCATTAGCATGCATGTGTAACTCAAAGGACAATTAAGTTTCTCTTCTTCTAAGACACCATGTGGTGTGGTGGCCCACAGGTGCCTCCTAGTGAGACCTTACTCAAGGTCAAAGAATCTGAGCTTGCTTTACCCAGCAGGGCTGCATAATGGGATGATTTGACCATGGGTCATGATTACCAGGTGTTTTAGAGGGTCTACACTGTACATTGTGCTTTGATCTTGAAAGGGGAAGTCTTTTGCCTCTCCCCTTGGCATTCTATAAAAAGCTCCTAAGAATAAGGGATGGGGCGACCGGGTATTGACCCAGGGCCCTCCTGAAGTATCCTGTGTCGCTCTTTCTCCTCATTGCTATCTTTCTTTCTAAAAGTTCCTCATTCTTCCCTCCTCCACCCAAGAACCCTTAGAAAGGTGGGAGCAGAGTGGACATGGACTCCAGCAGACTCCCACAGTGGGGACCAAGGTCATCAGCTTGGCAACAAGTGCCTTAGCTCACTGAGGCATCTCACTGTCCCCGATTTAACTCTTCCCAATACAATTTTCAATGCAGAAACATGTCCTCTAGTATACCACAACCTCATAATAAGGACCCACAGGTCCCTACAAATACCTGTTTTCTTTAAAAGCCACTCTAATGTCTTCCAGGGCTACAAGTTCTTCCTACTACAAAATCTGCTTAAGACTGAACAAAAGCAATACAAATATGAAGAGGCTTCCTAGATATTCATACTTTCAAATTTTCAAGTCCTGCTTATTTGTTCTAAAGGCATACCTACCATTCTAGGCTATTTCACTAAAGAAACATAATAAATGCCTATATGGGCTAGAAAGATGGCTCAGTGGTTAAGAAACTTGCTGTTCTTGCAGAAGACCCAGGTTCAGTTCCTATCACCCAGTTACAGGAGGCTCACAACCACCTGTAACTCCAGTTACAGGAGATCTGACACCTCTTTCTGGCCTCCATGGATGCCTGCACTCACATGGT